GATCTAGATTTTTTTACGTTATGGTAAGAAAATTTAACACAAGATCTATGATTTTAGCAAAATTTTAAGTAAAAAATTCTGGATAGTTATGTATAAGTACAGTATGACTCACCAGATCTTAGAGCTTATTCATTTGTGTATGTGAAACTTTGTACTTTTTGCCCCAAATCTTCCCATTAGCTACTTTGCCTAACCCCTAGCAACTCCTGCTCTAATTCTGTGCTTCTGTGAGCTTGGCTATTTTAGAATCATGCAGCCTTACCCTTCTGTGAATGGCTCACTCGGTGGCCATGGTGTTCTCCAGGTTTATGCACGTTGTTGCACATGGCACAAGCACCATGTCCTTCTCATTGTCTGCAACACACTTCTTTATCCATCCACCCATCCACTCGCATTTACTTTGTTTCCACATCTCACCTATTGCAAGCACCATGGCAACAGACAAGAACATGTAAATATCTCTTTGGATCCTCATCTCAGTGGTTTTGGATGAATACCAAATATTTCTGATTTCTCTCTTACAAACATTTTCTTGTCTTTTGTTTTTTCATAATAGTCCTCCTAACAAGTTAAAGGTGGTATTTTCTTGTAATGTCAGGTTTCCCTGATGATCAGTAATGTTGAGCACCTATTTTTTATTTTTAAATTTTTTTTAACTTTTAAAGCAAATAAAAAACAATAATAAAATACCAACAACATAGCAAAGATAAAACATAAAACAATAAAAATGATACAGGGTTTCAAAACAAGATGAAAGGAATTAACAGTGGTTATTATATTAATATTATCTGCAATGAAGTTGCTCAGACTATCAGACACAAGAATGCAAGATTGATCAAACCATTTTAAAGAGACTAAAAAATAATTTAAAAAATTAGAAATGATACAGAGCTCCACTAAGCAAGATGGTAGGAATTTACAAATGGTTGTTATCTTGCATATTGTTGTCTTCAAATTAGTTGTTCAGATCACTAGATATAAGCATGCAATATTGGTCAAAAAATTTAAGCATTAACTGCTCCTTTCAATAAACCATTCGACATCAGCTGTGTATATATATATGTGTATATATATATACACACACACATAAAATCCCTTCCTTTTTTCTTTCTTTTTCTTCTTTCCCTCTTCCCAGTTATTCTTTCCCTTTTAGCAATTTCTTTCCCTTTCACAATATCTACTGTACCTTTTGGGTTTTATTTACTCGTTCAGGTTCTTACACTAGGGAGACAATATTATGTTTACGCATACAGGTCTGATTTATTTCACTTATGAGTATGATCTCTAGTTGCATCTATTTACCTATAAAGGTATCAAGTTTATCTTTTTTATAGCTGAATAATACTCCATTTTATTAAAATAGCATGTCTTTTTATCCATTCCTCAGTTGATGGACATTTGGTTTGTTTGCAAGATTTAGCGATGACAAATTAGGCTGCTATAAATATAGGTGCACATATATTGCTGTGGTATGTTTTTCATTCTTCTCAGAAAATACCCAGAAGGGGACAAGTTGTGTTAAGTAGTATTTCTCATCTTAATTTTGTGAGGAACCTCCACACTGATTTCCACAGTGGTTTCACCAGTGTACACTCCCACTAGTGATAGAGAAATGTTCTTTTTTTCTCCACAGCCCCACCAGTATTAGCTATGGGTTGATTTCTTAATGACAGCCATTCATTCTGGGGTGAGATGGAATCTCAGTGTTGGTTTAATTTGCATTTCTTGAATGACCAATGACGTTTTACATTTTTTCGTATATTTATTTGCCATTTGTATTTCTTCATCTGAGAAGTATGTATTCATCTCAGATGTTCATTTTTGATTGGGTCTTTGAATTTTGGGGGCCTGATTTTTTAAAAATTCTTTATATGTTTTAGAAAGAAGTCCTTTGTCGGAGGGACAGTTGGCTAAAATTTTTTCCTAATTCATGTGTTTTCTTTTTACTGTGTTGGCGGTTTGTTTTGCTGTGCAAATCTTCTGACTTTAGTTTAGTGCATGGTGATCGACATGGGTCTAGTTTTAGTCTTTGGCATGTAGAGAGCCAGTTTTTCCAGTACCACTTATTAAAGAGGCTATCTTTCTTCCAGTGAATATCTTTGGCCCCTTTGTCAAAGATAAAATGGCTGAGTGTGTTTGTCCTGTGTCTGCATCCTGTAATCTGTTCCACTGATCTTCAGGTCTGCTTTTTTGCCAGTACCATGGCTATTTTATCACGGTAGCTTGGTAGTATAATTTCAAGTCAGGGACTGTGATGCCTCCTGCATTGCCTTTGTTGCCCAGAATTGCTTTTGGTCTTCTAGGCCTCTTCTGGTTCCATAAAAATTTTAGCAACGTTTTCTGTAGATCTGTGAGGTATGCTAATGGTGTTTTAATTGAGACTGCATTGAATCTGCACAACAATTTTGGGAGTGTGGTCATTTTCACAGTGTTGGTTCTCCCTATCCATGAACAAGGAATAACTTTCCATTTTCTGAACTCGTCTTCGATTTCTTTTTTCAAAGTATTGTAGTTTTCACTGTTTAAGTCTTTTACTTCTTTTGTTAGATTGATTCCTAAGTAGTTCATTTTTTTAGCTGCTATTGGGAAAGGTATGTCTCCTTAATTTCTCTCTCAGTGTGTTGGTTGTTTTTGTACAGGAATGCTATTAATTATATGTTTACTTTGTATCCAGCTGTGCTACTGATCAGTTATGAAATCTTTAAGCATTTTGGTGGAGTTTTGCGGGTCTTCTATGTAGAGTATCATGTCATCCGGGACTAGTGATAATTTCACTTCTTCCTTTCCAGTCCTTAATCCTTTTATTTCTATCTCTTGTCTAATTGCACTGGCTAATACTTCCAGAATTATATTGAATAGGAGTGGTGAGAGTGGATATCCTTGTCTTGTTCCTGATTTTAAAGTGAAAGCTTTCATTTAGTATGATGTTAGCTTTTGGTTTGTCATAGATGGCTTTGATGAACTTGAGGTAAAGTCCATCTATTCCAATTTTCTGTAGGGTTTTTATCATGAATAAGTGTTAGACTTTATCAAAAGCCTTTTATGCATCTATTGAGGTGATCATGTGATTCTTGTCTTTAGCTCTGCTCATATGGTGTATCACATTAATTGATTCTCTATATTGAAACATCCCTGCATTCCTGGGATGAATCCCACTTTGTCATGATGTATAATCTTGTTAATTATTTGCTGCATTGTGTTTGCTAGTATTTTATTGAGAATTTTTGTATCTATATTTATTAGAGAGGTTGGCCTGCAGTTCTCTCTTTTTTTCACAAATATATATCTCTTCATTAGTAATTCTTATTTATCTAACAAAAGCTGAGACAAAATACATTCAATTTATCTCAAACACCATTGATTTACTTCAGCAGAATTCTAAGCAGAACCATAAAATCAATGTGTAGTATTAACCACAATCATGTCTCCTATATCCCCAGAATCAGATGATTGTGAGAAATCTCAGAGTGAAGATAATTGGTATATATGGTGTTATACTTTATAATGACAGAGTTTCAACTTAAGTGCTACACTTTTGTTTATTGAAGAGAGAGCACAGGTCCACTGTCATTCCCCAAAGAGAGATATATTATGTCCTCTTTCCTCCACATGAATATAACCTGAAGGGGATTTTAATCTTGTCTTGGAATTAGTGTGAGACTATTTACTTTGGCATTACACCACTTTGTTAAATTACACTAGCAATTTTACTGAGTCTTTTTAACTTTGTTTGTACTGGGGAAAGAAACCTTCTGTCTAAGAGAGACAGAAGGGCCCCTGAGTGAGTGAGCCTATTTGCAACTTTTACATGCATTCAGGGAGTAACCTAGCACTTCTCAGACATCATGAACAATGTATTTCTATCAGTCAGATGGAGAAAATATTGTAGTTTGTTTCTGGTTGTTTCATGTAAAATACATGTACTTATATGTATCCCACCCACCCATGGAGACTGACTTGGAGGAAATGCTTCTTAAATTATTCTTAACTAAAGTGAGTTTTCTTTTTAAAGGTTCCCATTAAATATGTGCATTTTCCATATTTAATTTATCACCGTTGTGATTCCACAAGATGGCAGCATTTTCTCAGGTATCCTGAGGATGGTTTCAACTACTCCTTTGACAATGTGTGTGTATGTAAGAATGAGAGATAGAGAGAGCGAGACAGACAGACAGACAGACAGACACACACACACACACACACACACAGAGAAACAGAAAGAGACAGAGACAGAGACAGACAGAGGAAAGAGATCAGAAGAGAGGCTTGGTGTAGCTGAATGGCCAAAAGAACATCTTCTAATTTTGAGAACAGATACTTATTCTGTTTCTTACAGTAAAAGAATCAAAGTGTTTGAAGAAGCTTTGTAGAGTTTAAAATCTCAATCCCCAATGAACAAGAGCAGAAGGATGGAATCCTTTGGTGTTTTATTAGTGACCCTGTGGCTTCAGTTCATCTGTGAGTACGGGCATTTCTTTGGGAACTTAAACTACAACATGCAAAACTGTGGTTTATACCAGAACTGTGGGATGAATATGAATAGTTTTATCCTCTAAATAAGGTAGATTGGGAAAGCACTGAAAAGGTAATTTTCGTTCTGGAGAGTAAGCACCAATTTCCCAACCAATCTTCTCTCTTTTTTTTTTTTTGGAACTAGGAATTGAACTCAGGGCCTTGTGCTTGCCAGGCAGGCGCTTGTGCCATGGAGCTATATCCCCCTTCTAACTAATCTTCTTTGCCTGTTGTTTGTGTGTACAGGGGTGAGCGGCCAACAGAAGGAGGTGGAGCAGAGTCCTGAGGCCCTCAGTGTTGCAGAGGGAGCCATCGCCTCTCTCAACTGCACTTACAGGAACAGCGCTTTTCAGTTCTTTATGGTGTACCGACAGTTTTCCGGGAAAGGCCCTGCCTTTCTCATGTCCACATACTCTAATGTTGAAAAAAAGGAAGGAAGATTCAGAATGCAGCTCAACAAAGCCAGTCAGTATGTTTCCCTGGACATCACAGCCTCCCAGCACAGTGACTCAGCCACCTACTTCTGTGCAGCGAGCACACAGTGCTCCCCAGGCACCTGCGGCCTGCACCCAAACCCATCAAGACCTGAGGAGAGACCACAGTACAGAGAAGTTCTGTTCCTGCTCCAGAAGCACTGGGAATTATGAGCAATAATGTGGGGGAACGTATAGTGAATTTTAATAATTCTGATAATAGTTACCTTAAAAGGGAAAATGTAGCCAAATATTAGTTTGGTAGAAATATTTTTTAATTTGCAACTGTTACTCAAAAAATTTTTATTGAGGGACTGGGGATTTAGCTCAGCGGCAAAAGCGCCTGCCTGGCATGGGCAAGGTCGTGAGTTCGGTTCCCAGTACCGGAGAAAAACCAAAAAAAAAAAAAATTTTTTTTATTGAGGTATGGACAAAAAACTACACATATTTAATATATACATTTTGAGAAGATTGATGGTAAGTAGATAGTCATGAAATTATCATAATATAGATATAGCCATCTCCTCTATATGTTTCATTCTTCTTTCTTATTTAAAACTGGTATACAATCTATATACAAAAAGGTACACATAGGGCATACATTTTGATATCAACTCTAGCTTTATATCACAGCTTTACTCACACGATTAGTTTGGTGATGTTGTTATATATGAAGGAAAATGTTTTAATATGACAGATACTTCCTTATAGGTAATACACCTTGTTCTTCTCTACTCAGTTTCTGACACAGTTTGATACACTGCACTTGGAATACATTGACAAAACATAAATCTAAAGAAGAGAAAGGAATCATAAAAATTGACTTTCAAAAAATTTTAAGTAATTATTTTAATTATAGATCTCCCACTTCATCTTTACTCTCAGCTACAACCTCACCCTTGGGTTAGATAAGGACACCATGGGAAGATGGAAGGAAAGGTTCTAGAGTCAGATGGTGAGAACTGTAAATACTTTAAGGCTCAGAAGTTTGCAGAGATTTAAATTTAGAGAGGGCCTATCCTCCTGTTCTTGCTTACTGGCTGAGTAGGTCTCAGAGTTTGTGGCCTGTCTTGGTTCCTGTGCCCTGGTGTGTGACATGAGAGCATCAGCCATGGTTACAAGGAGATCCACACTCCAGCAGTGCATCAGGGCACACAGTGACTCTAGGTTTCTTAGGATCTCTGAGAACGTGTCTGGAAGAGTTCTAGATATAAAGGACTTTGTTCTGCTGACTAGAGACCTACTTAGAGGAGCTAAACTAGACCATATGGTATTGGGAGTCTTTTAGAAAATATTGGTGAGGAAAGTTGGAGAGGCTAAAGGTCATATGTGTGTCATTTAAGCTCACCCCCTCTGGCTTTTGAGTAGTATGGATTTGCCCTCCCAGTTCTACAAGTCCAGGAAAAAGTGTTTGTTGCCTGATGCAAATAAGGCCTTATAATAATAAGTTGAATTGCAGTAAAAAAGTAAAAGTAGAACTTATTGTGAAACTGATGTAGTCCATTCATCCAAAAAACACAGAAATGGAAAATTAAGATTTAGTGTTTCAACCCAATCAGGATTTGCTTCAAATGTTAAATATGAAAATTTGAGGATTCTTAAATAAATATTTCCAAATTATGGAAAGGACTTGAAGTTTGATACACTGCTGTGGAGACTTGAAAGGAAGTGGGGAAGAACAGAAGTTGAGCTGGAATCAAAATATTTATGTTTTAATTCCACTTTTCTTAAGAGCATTTTGCTATAATGGTACTATGGAGAAATCCAAGGTTATGATAATGGTTTCAACAACTTTCATGTTATTAATGGGCCATTTGATCCTTTTTATTGTCTTTTGGAGACAGGGTCTCGCTATGCAGTTCAGGCTGGCCTTGATCTCACTTTGTAGCCCAGGTAGCTTTCAAACGTGTAACAGTCCTCCTGCCTCAGCCTCCTGAGTGCTGGGATTATAGGCATGTGCCACCATGCCTGGGTGGGTCATTTGATCTTAGGAAGTACTATTATACATATATTTCAGGATTGGTTTCAGAGATAAATGAAGCAATATATTGACATCGGTTTAGTTCCTTGAATGAGATCTTAAACTGAAATCCTTTTTCCTGTAATATATCAAGGTACATAGGTTGAGACAGGACATGGCTAAGTACAGATGTGATTCAGCTGGAATCTTGATTCAGCCTGATTTTGGGAACCCTGGGACATGCAGTGCCCCACAGAGCTGATCCTTCTCAGTTTGAGGTAGGGAACAAACTGCTCATCTTTTGAACATCAGAATAACATACTGGAGTCTTTCTTGGAGAGGAGGTGTACAGAACAATAGTGACTAACATTGGAAGAAAAGAACATTGTGGAGAAGAGATCAACTGAGAGTCTCAAGTAAACAACCCCCACAGCAGCTGGATATTGACTACACCGGCCTGGGAAGAGGGGACATAGGTTGGAGGTCAATAGTGTCCACTATTAACAAGAAACTCTTTTACAACATGGATAGCGCTCCATTCATGATTTACTTTCTAACTATTGTATTTCTCTTTTAATTTCTTCATCCATGTAACGGGGTATGGATACTGGATCTCACCATTGAAGGAGAATTTAGAGTACTTGTTAAGAGAAAAGAGAAAATAATATAAAAATTATTTTTTTTCTTCCAAAGTGGAGACAGTATGAAACTCAGTTTAGTACAATCTAAAATACATTAATATAAAAACTATTTTTTTCTTCCAAAGTGGAGACAGTCTGAAACACTGGACTGCAGATACCTCAAAACTGGGGCTCAGGTCTTTAGATACAACTAGGACTAAGGGAGGGACAGAGAAGAAAAGACAAAAACAACCTAAACACTGTGCTACCTCCAGCCCTACAGTTGACCTTTAAAAGCAAACAAATCACATTTGAAGCATTTACTTCTTTGTGCAAGCATCACTTCTGATTGCCTTCAAAACCTTCTCATCATCCTAAAAGGAAAATATATCCATCCAGTAGTAGCTCAGAATCTTTCTATGTCAGCCCCTGGAAACTACCAACCTATTTTCTCTCTCTACAGATGATTCTCTTTTCTATATATGTCATGTGAATGTGAATGTGAATGTGAATGTGAATGTGAATGTGAATGTGAATGTGAATGTGAATGTGAACTCATACAATATATAGCCTTTGTGTATGGCTTCTTCTTCATAGCATAGGGCTAAAAGGTTTATTCAACACAGGACAAACTACAGAAAGCCAAACCTGCAGCTCTAGTCATAAGGTACCTCACTTTGGGTTAACCTTCCTGTTTTCCTCATGCAGTGGTCATTCATCAGGACATACCTGATACCTAAACCTGGCTTCCTCCTCCCCCTTCCCCTCTTCGTTCCTTCCCTCTCCCTCTCCCTCTGCTCTCTTTTCTCCTAGTGTAAAGCTTTCTCACTCCTTACATCTTCTATCTGTCTTTGAGTCTCTGCAAAATGCAAGAGTGACTGACTCTGCTGCTATAGTGGTCTCTGAGTAAATGGCCTCATGTCAGTGGTCTTCACTTACTTATGGATATCTCAAGGCACAAGTTTTCACTTTATCATTAAAGTCATGCTTTAAGTGTAGAAAATCAAAGAATCAAGGTGGAATGAGGGATTTTATCATGGAATGTTTTATTAAGTAATGTTAAATCTGCAGGACAGCTTGGCTTTCATTCAGAACAGTCATGCAGCTTAGGTAATCAGAAATCCTGCCATGATATGTCAGGGAACAGCTTTGATGTAAAGCTGTTATCATAATTTATGTCTCATATTGTATCCTCAATATAATTTGGAATTCTCCAACACATACACTGGCCTTCCTGCTGGATTTGCTTATCTGAAATTACTTCTTCCCATATCTACTTCTTTTACTAAATGTTCAAGCTCTATAATGTAATGAGGAGTACCTTAGTCAGCTTTCTCATTGCTAGGCAAAGTGCTTGGCACCCTTAACTTAAAGGAGGAGAATTTTAATTTGGCTCGTGTTTTAAGAGGATGCAGTCTATGGTTAGCTGGCTCCAAACTAGAAACATCATGGGACAAGGACCTGGTGAAAACTGTTCAGATCATGGTGGCTGAGAAGCAGAGCAGAAAAATAATGTTAAGGAGAAGGAGCAAGGGGCCACACACAGGCGAAGTTCCATTCCTCTTTGACCCACTCATGGTACCTCCAGAGATGTGCTCTATCAGTCACCTTGGGCAGATCCCAAAGAAGATCACGTTGATACTTCACTTTGATAGTTACAAAGGGTCTCGAAATGTCTCCTTTGTCTAGATGATTTTTTCATGTTTTCCCAGATTAAGTTCTTGGTGAGATATCTATTCAGCAATATGAGATAGAAAGGAATTAAATAAATAGTACATTTCTAGCAATTACATGCCATGGCCTAAATGAACTTTTATTGTTAATGAAAGTAAATAAATCATTTTAAAAGAGAAAAGGAGAATATTAATTTGTGAAGAAAATTTTCTTGCATGTGTTATAGCAGTTGACCATATCACAGTTGACCATATCACAGTGAATAATAAAAATTTCACAGAAATGATGAACACACAATAAAGCAATTATTTATTTATTTATTTATTTATTTAATTTGTCTTTTTGAGATAGAGTTCCACTGTGCAGTTCAGGCTGGTCTGAGTTCAGTTTATAGCCCAGGCTGTCCTTGAACTAACATCAGTCCTTCTCCTTCAGCCTCCCCCGTGCTGGGGTGACAGCCATGTGCCACCATGCCCAGCAATAAAGCATTTGAAGTAAACATAATTTCAACATATTATGAGAACGATAAATTTTAAATGGATGTCATAAGTGATTGTGACATTGGGAGCTGGTTTGCTTTAGAATAGTAGGGGAATAAGTAGCTGGTAATCAGGAAAGTTCTCTGAGAAATGTTACTGAGATATGTCAGAAAGATACGCATTCAGCCAAGCTAATACTCCGGCTCTGCAGTAATTTAGGAAGAGGGAACAGCTCATGAGAATGCTCCAAAAGTGGAAGGAATTGACCATATGTGGGAAATTACAGAAAGAGCCAAGGGTCTGAAATGTTATGTAAAATGGTTAAGGTGGGTGAGGTTAATACAGTTAGGCAAATATGTTAGACTTTGTAGGCTCTGAAAAGAATTTGAGATTTTCTGTAATTGAGAAGTCATTGAATATATTCAGTTAAGTGGCAAAACTGGTTGTAAATAAATTGGGTCATAATAGGGTTTGGAGCCAAAATGAACAGTTCTGTGGTAACTTGTTACACAACAAGGAGAAGCTAATAGTCTTAAAAACTGGTCAGCGTATTTTCACAATACTATGTGTGT